AGAGAGAGAGAGAGAGAGAGAGAGAGAGAGAGAGAGAGAGAGAGAGAGAGAGAGAGAGAGAGAGAGAGAGAGAGAGAGAGAGAGAGAGAGAGAGAGAGAGAGAGAGAGAGAGAGAGAGAGAGAGAGAGAGAGAGAGAGAGAGAGAGAGAGGGAGAGAGAGAGAGAGACAGGGAGAGTGAGACAAGGAGAGAGAGAGAGACAGGGAGAGTGAGACAGAGAGACAGTATGTAATGGAGCGTAATGAACAGGACAAAAGAAACAGAGTGAAATATTGAGCCAGTCTCAGGTTTTCGTCATTAACACACAACATTAATGTAACATTAGAAGTGAACCAACTGTGTTACTGTTTAAATACATGTTCACACACACACACACACACACACACACACACGCGCGCGCGCGCAAACACACTGTATTGTGGTGAGAAATATAAATACACAGGTCATGTTTCCAAGGCCAACTGGACAAAAATGACACGAAGACAAGTCAAGAGAGACAGAGCTCTTATCGACACACTCCACTGTACACACACACACACACACACACACACACACACACGCACACACACACACACACACATCTGTATTTATAACTGTATAGCTATACAGTATATAGCTATATAGAAAACTATATATAACTATCTATATTTTAAATGTGTGTCACAGAATTATAGAGGAGGCGGATGCAAGTGCAGGTAAACGTTTATTTACAGTGACAAAGTGAAACACAAAGACTAGGAAACAAAAACGAGAAACAATGAGGCTAGACAACAACATGAACATGATACGTATCGAGAGACAACAACTAAAGACCGACAGGAAGTGCTATACAATGCGTGACATAAATACCTGTGCTAATTAAAAAAACAACATGATGCAGGTGTTTGTGGTCATGTGACATGGTGTGTGCAGTGAGCAGGTGAGTGGCTTGTGGGTACTGTAGTCCGGCGCCGTATGAGCACCACCGTGACGCTGTGCATAGGGCAGTGGTGGCCCAGTGGTTAAGCCTCTGTGTTATTAATCAGAAGGTCGGGGGTTCAAGCCCCAGCACTGCCAAACTGCCACTGTTGCCCCTCCAGGGGCACTGCATCATGGCTGACCCATGGCTTCCTCACAAGCTGGGATATGCAAAGAAAATAATTTCCCTGTGCTGTAATGTACATGTGACGAATAATGGCTCCTTCTAAAGGTATTACTGCCTGTGCAAATGTTTGACAAGAGACTTCCAGTTGTGAAGTCTCTTAAGTCGTTAGCCCTTAATTGACTTGTTAGGCAGGTCAAAGATTGTCATTAGGAATATATATATATAATATAATAAACTCTCTGACTCTTCAAACCTTGTGCTAACGTTCAACAAGCCAGGGGCTCCTCTAAGCAGTTGTCTGAGGATCTGAAAAGGAAGCTAACTGATGGCTACAAAGCAGAGGAAGTATATAAAAAGATATCAAAGCACTTCCAGCTCAGAATTTCCTGTGTGAAATGTCATTATGAAACAGAAGTTAAGGGGAACTGTGGAAGTGAAGACAAGAACTGGAACACCAAGAACCCTCTCAGAAAGGACTGCCTGTGACATCAGTCCTCATCCTCCTTGACCTCTCTGCAGCCATCGGCACGGTCAATCACAATACTCTCCTGTGCATCCTCAGCAGTCTTGAAGTTTAGTGTGACAGCTAGCGGTGGTTTGCTTTCTACCTGAAGAGACACTCATGTCAGGTGACATGGAGAAGATCCACATATGTTCCATGCAGACTCTCCACTATTGTCCCACAAGGCTCAGTGTTGGGTCCTCTTCTGTTCTCCCTCTATACCCGCTCTCCCGGCGAGGTCGTGTCCTCTATACCCGCTCTCGCAGTGAGGTCGTGTCCTCTATACCCGCTCTCCCGGCGAGGTCGTGTCCTCTATACCCGCTCTCCCGGTGAGGTCGTGTCCTCTATACCCGCTCTCCCGGCGAGGTCG